CTTCCTTCCTTCCTTTCTTTCTTTCTTTAGTGATCTCCACAACAACCGGCTCAAGATTCTTCAAGCACATTCTTTCGAGGGATTGCCAAACTTAAAAATGCTGTAAGCCAATCATCATGAAAGTATAAGGAAATAATTGGATTGTAGACTAATATCGACTATACGTGACTAGCTTGTCTCTTCCTGACATGACGTCGTTGTTGTTATCTATTTATCTGTTTATTTTCATTGTAGAGACCTTACTGGAAATCATATCAGAGATATTGAACCACAAGCGCTCAATGGCTTACCCTACCTTACCTACTTGTAAGAATTGATTAATTAAGAAATAGAAAACGCGCGCGCGTGCTGTGTGGACTTATAAAGCACGCGGTCATAGGTAGAACACGAGAGAAGTGTTAGGAGAAGCACGACACGTAGCGGAGTGCTTCTGGACACTTCTGGACACTTCTCGGGTGTTCTGCCAATCCTCAAGTGCTTTATGACTGCACACAGCACAGCAAGCAAGYTTTTTATTTCTTTTATAAAATACAAATTACAATAATAGATAGGAATGACGCAACGGAAAGTGCGCGCGCGTGCAATGTGCTTTCATAAAGTACGCGCTCCAAACCAGAACTGGAGAATTCGATTTAGTAGAACTTGGGAGAAATGACATAACGGGGATTGTTCCAAAGTTAGTGAACTATCCTTCAATGTCATAAAAAAGAATTTGTGTATGTCATTATTACATTGTGGTTGTCTGCAGGGAAATCTGTTTACACGTAAGATTATTTTCTTTTGGTTTCAAACTAATTATTCCGATACTTTATTTCTTCATTGTAGATCTCTAGATGATAACCAACTGACTSAGCTCAAGGCGGGTACATTTGATCCTGCCGTAAGACTTCGAAATTTGTAAGTATTTCCTTAATGTTTTGCTTACTTTACTTATTTAGGTTCAAATASGAATGCTCAATGAGGGAAGGACGGAAATATCCCCTCCTCCGCTCCCCTGTGGGGCTAGGTGAATGGGTGGACGGGGTTAAACCGCTCGACAATCTCGTACCCAGAGCCTGCGTTTCTTTCAGGCCTGCGGTGAAGAACGATGGCTCTAGCATAATCCACTTTTTGCCGCATGCGCAATGTTCCAGAAGTGAAATATAATCAATAAAAATCATGCTTTCAAACAGAGCTTTGTGCTTACTCCCCATCAAAGTAAAAATAGAAATCGGGAACATATTTTAATGCAAGTGTCTGAACGCATGCGCTCGTATACCGGAAGTCCAAGAAATCCTGGTCTCAAAAAATGGATTATGCCAGACCCCTYGTTCTTCGCCGCAGGCCAAAAGAAACGAAGACTCTGGGTACGAGACTGACCGCTCGACTACTTCGGTTTAGCCTTACAATCCCTTGCAGCACGATGGCTTTACCAATCATTATTTAGTAGGATAACTTAATATATATCACAATCAACAAATCGCTCATAGATTTCCATTGTCTGTCCTCTTATTGAACATAGTTGACGTCTTAAAAAATAATGTTCAAAACTCAAGTGGAACAAGAAGCGACACGAGTGATTTCACTGTAACGTTTTGAGCATTATTTTTTAAGACGTCATCTATGTTCAATAAGAGGACAGAAAATGGAAATCTATGAGCGAATCGTTAAATGGCTATCCTAGATAAATAGCTAATATAGTTTACAAAATACAATAATAATCTTCTTWTCTTCAGGTATATTACTCAGAATCAAATTGAATCAATGGACCATGACGTAGTTAACGTGTTGTCGCAGTTGCAAAACTTGTAAGGAAATAACATTAGTAAACCTTTTACAAATCTGTCATTTAACAGTGCAAACACACTTAACTGGGACCACTTCTACAAAGTTAACCAATCACGATAGAGAGTAAGAACCGTAGCCAATCAGGAGAAAACAGAATCAGTTTCATATCGACCTCGGACAATAATATTGTTAACTACATCCCAAGGTAGCTTTAAAACACTTTGTTCTTCGCTGGTTGGCTTTGTTTTCGTTTAACTTTGTAAGTGATGGCGTAACTTGCAAAGGAATAATTAGCATAAGCAGATGAAAATGGAAATTTACATTAAGTTGTTGGAGTTAAATCAAATAAAGATAATAACATAACTACACAGGATAACTCGAGAAGTGATCCAGTGTTGGTWACATAAGCTGAAGTTGCCATGGTTCCATGTTTTTTCAGTCGTTTATCAGAAAACAAGATCCAGAGACTCCCAGCTGGCATTTTCAAAGGAATGATGAACCTGGAAACTTTGTAAGTGAATAGATGAATGAAACATCCATGCATCCATGCATCCATGCATCCATGCATCCATGCATCCACCCACCCATCCATCCATCCACTTTTCTCTGTACTGTATTCTTCTCTACAGGGACATAAGGAAGAATAAGATCACTGAACTGAAGGGTGGACATTTTAAAGATAACTCCAAACTTGGCCAGCTGTAAGTTCAACCCACTTAACATGCTCAAAACGATTCCCCTCCCCCCC